GAAGGCAAAGTCCCTTGGATGGCAAAGGGAAAGAGTCCCTTCGATTGCAAAGGGAAAAAAGAGGCCCTTCGATCGCAAAGGCCTTTCGATGGCAAAGGCAAGTGCACTTTGAAGGCAAAATAGGGCCCTTCGATGGCAAAGGTAAAAATATCCTTCGATGGCGAAGGGAACGGCACATTGAAGGCCCTTCGACCGCAAAGATCCTTGGATGGCCAAGGGTCCTTCCATAACAAAGGCAAGGGCACTTTGAAGGCAACGACCCTTCCATGGCAAAGGTAAAAGGCCTTTGAAAGCAAAGGCAAAGTCTTTTCGAAAATGTAACGAGAAATATCCTCTTTTCTCACGTTCACACGAGTCTTGGTACAGCTGGGTCGGAAAAGATTGCATTACCAGAGAGTCTAGGTTGGAGGATGCTGCAGCGGTTAAAGGGATGTAGTAGTTTGAAGGAAGGCGTTCCCTTCGATGGCAAAGCCCTTCGAAACTGTAACAAGGAAAATCCTCTTTTCTCACTTTCACTCAAGTCTTTGTACAATTGGGTCGAGCCAAGTTGTGTTACCAGAGAGTCTAGGTTGGAGGATGCTGTAGCGGTTAAAGGGATGTAGTAGTTTGAAGGAAGGCGTTCCCTTCGATGGCAAAGCCCTTCGATCGCAATGGCCCTTCGATGGAAAAGCAAGTGCACTTTGAAGACAAAAAGGCCCTTCGATGGCAAAGGTGATAAATGCCCTTCGTTGGCGAATGGAAGGGCACTTTGAAGGCCCTTCGGCTGCAAAGGCCCTTGGATGGCAAGGGCCCTTCCATGACAAAGGCAAGGGCACTTTGAAGGCAAAGACCCTTCAATGGCAAACGTCCTTCGATGGCACTTTGAAAGCAAAGGCAAAGGCTCTTCAAAGTCTTTTCTCACGTTCACTCGAGTCTTGGTACAGCTGGGTCGGAAGAAGTCGCATTAAAAAAGAGTCTAGGTTGGAGGATGTTCCACGGGTTAAAGCAATGGAGTAGTTTGAAGCTCAATACGTGTATGATGGTTGGCTTCAAGGAAAATACCCTTCGAAGGCAAAGGGAAGGGCAATTTGAAAGCAAAAGCTCTTCGATGGCAAAGACACGTGCATTATGAAGGCAAAGGCCGTTCGATGGCAAACGGAAAGAGTCCCTTCGATCGCAAAGGCCTTTCGATTGCAAAGGCAAGTGCATTTTGAAGGCAAAACAAGGCCCTTCGATGGAAAAGGTAAATATCCTTCGATGGCGAAGGGAAATGCACAATTGCAGGCCCTTCGACCGCAAAGGTCCTTCGATGGCTAGGGTCCTTCCATAACAAAGGCAAGGGCAATTTGAAGGGAAAGACCCTTCGATGGCAAAGGTAAAAGGCCTTTGAAAGCAAAGGCAAAGTCTTTTCGAAAATGTAACGAGCAATATCCTCTTTTCTCACGTTCACACGAGTCTTGGTACAGCTGGGTCGGAAAAGGTTGCATTACCAGAGAGTCTAGGTTGGAGGATGTTCCAGCGGTTAAAACAATGGAGTAGTTTGAAGCTTTATACATTTATGATCGTTGGTTTCTAGGAAAAGGCCCTTCGAAGGCAAAGGGAAGGGCAATTTGAAAGCAAAAGTTCCTTCGATGGCAAAGAAACGGGCATTATGAAGGCAAAGTCCCTTCGATGGCAAAGGGAAAGAGTCCCTTCGATGGCAAGGGGAAAAAAGAGGCCCTTCGATGGCAAAAGCACTTCGATCGCAAAGGCAAGTGCACTTTGAAGGCAAAAAAAGGCCGTTCGATGACAAAGGTAAATATCCTTCGATGGCGAAGAGAAGGGCACAATTGCAGGCCCTTCGACCGCTAAGGTCCTTGGATGGCAAGGGTCCTTCCATAACAAAGGCAAAAGGGCACATTGAAGGGAAAGACCCTTCGATGGCAAAGGTAAAAGGCCTTTGAAAGCAAAGGCTAAGTCTTTTCGAAACTGTAACGAGCAATATCCTCTGTCCTCACGTTCACACGAGTCTTGGTACAGCTGGGTCGGAAAAGGTTGCATTACCAGAAAGTCTGGGTTGGAGGATGTTCCAGTGGTTAAAGCAATGGAGTAGTTTAAATTTTTACATGTATAATCGTTGGTTTCAAGGAAAAGGCACTTCGAAGGCAAAGGGAAGTGCAATTTGAAAACAAAAGTTCCTTCGATGGCAAAGAAACGGGCATTATGAAGGCAAAGTCCCTTCGATGGCAAAGGGAAAGAGTCCCTTCGATTGCAAAGGGAAAAAAGAGAGGCCCTTCGATGGCAAAAGCACTTCGATCGCAAAGGCAAGTGCACTTTGAAGGCAAAAAAAGGCCGTTCGATGACAAAGGTAAATATCCTTCGATGGCGAAGAGAAGGGCACAATTACAGGCCCTTCGACCGCTAAGGTCCTTGGATGGCAAGGGTCCTTCCATAACAAAGGCAAAAGGGCACATTGAAGGGAAAGACCCTTCGATGGCAAAGGTAAAAGGCCTTTGAAAGCAAAGGCTAAGTCTTTTCGAAACTGTAACGAGCAATATCCTCTGTCCTCACGTTCACACGAGTCTTGGTACAGCTGGGTCGGAAAAGGTTGCATTACCAGAGAGTCTGGGTTGGAGGATGTTCCAGTGGTTAAAGCAATGGAGTAGTTTAAATTTATACATGTATAATCGTTGGTTTCAAGGAAAAGGCACTTCGAAGGCAAAGGGAAGGGCAATTTGAAAACAAAAGTTCCTTCGATGGCAAAGACACGGGCATTATGAAGGCAAAGACCCTTCGATGTCAAAGGGAAAGAGTACCTTCGATGGCAAGGGGAAAGAGGCCCTTCGATCGCAAAAGCCCTTCGATCGCAAAGACAAGTGCGCTTTGAAGGCAAAAAAAAGGCCCTTCGATGGCGAAAGGTTAAATATCCTTCGATGGCGAAGGGAAATGCACAATTGCATGTTCTTCGACGGCAAAGGTCCTTGGATGGCAAGGGTCCTTCCATAACAAAGGCAAGGGCACTTTGAAGGGAAAGACCCTTCGATGGCAAAGGTAAAAGGCCTTTGAAAGCAAAGGCAAAATCTTTTCGAAACTGTAACGAGCAATATCCTCTTTTCTCACGTTCACACGAGTCTTGGTACAGCTGGGTCGGAAAAGGTTGCATTACCAGAGAGTCTAGGTTGGAGGATGTTCCAGCGGTTAAAGCAATGGAGTAGTTTGAAGCTTTATACATGTATGATCGTTGGTTTCAAGGAAAAGGCTCTTCGAAAGCAAAGGGAAGGGCAATTTGAAAGCAAAAGCCCTTCGATGGCAAAGGCACGGGCACTATGAAAGGCAAAAGGGCCTTCGACGGTAAAGCCCCCTCTATGGTGTAGGGAAGAGGGGGGCTCTTTGAGGCAAAGGTAAATAATACCCTTCGACGGCGAAGGGAAGGGAAGGGAAGGGGGGGGGACATTGAAGGGCCCTTCGACCGCAAAGGCCCTTCGATGTCAAGGTTCATTCCATAATAAATGCAAGGGCACATTGAAGGCATAAGGCCCGTTCGATGCCAAAGGGTAAAAAAGGCGTTTGAAAGCAAAGGCCAAAGTCTTTTCGAAATTGTAACAAGAAAAATCCTCTTTTCTCACGTTCACTCGAATCTTGGTACAGCTTGGTCGGAAAAAGTTGGATTACTAGTAGTGTGTCCAGGTTGGAGGATGTTGCAGCGGTTAAATGGATGGAGTAGTTGAAACGAATCCTCTTGTGAAGCGAAGACCCTGGCTGGGGCTGGTCACGTGGCACGCAGATTCTGCGTGCTTAAAATAAAATTGTTATTAGGGTAGGGTGGCGGGGGAGCGCGTTTGGAAAATGACAACTTGTGTAGTTGTGTATATTATAGTTTAGGATAATAAAATTTAAATTTGCAAGAAGAAATCCTGAAAGATTTCGTATTTATTATGACACGACTTCGCCCCCCGTATTATTGAGTGCTGGGTTACATTAGTCAAGCGAGAAGTTGGATCAGATTTCAGTGGACACAAGGCTTTTGGCAAGGAAAGCACGCTTCGCTATAAAAACAGTGAAACACAATCTTTTAGTGTAAAAATCTTCTAGATCGATCGAGCAAAACGATGTGGTTACGTTGTGACTGTTGTGACCGATACGCAAACCCAACGGATTTACCTTACGTACAGAGATGTGGAATTGCTACTATAAAATAACGAGATCCTAGCTGTCGGCCTGTCATCTTGCCAACTGTGTGTAAATTCTAAACATGCTCTCCCGACTGTTAGAGACCGTTAAAGACTGTGATATATGCCGTTTTGCCCATCGCTGAGACTCCATGATCAAGAATATATTATGTTCAAGTATGGCTTTCCGTCATCAAACGTGTATCATCCGATGTAGGCAAAGTCAAAGACTCGTCCGTGCGTGCGGTACAACTTGAATAATTTATATTTATTTATAGTATTGTATAATATGCGTATATAACAATTATTTCATATTTTTTACAGTAATATACACCCGCACATTATAAATATTATATAAAGAGCTTTCATTGCCATTGGTTTTGTAGCTGGATCTATCGGCCAGAATATCCTAAATTTTAGTTCATAGAGTTACATGAGATCCAGCTTGTATTTTTAAATAAACGCATACTGCCCTGCTGTGAGACATCAATAATTATATTGTCTTTTTAGAATTAAAATGTAGCATCCAACTATGCCTCATTGGAGACAAACAGCCAATCAATAGAAATTTTAAAATGCTAATATACAAACTCATCAAGTAATGCTATCATATGTCTGTGTGAGACTTGTCGTGCCGTGTGCGTATATGGAGTTTATGAATTATGTACCTGTATATATATCCCCGACAAAATCTGGAGACACTTTATTCAACAAATAATGGAAAGATACTTCCCTAAACCTTATCTGCTATCATTCCTTTGCATCATGGCTAGAAATCTCGGACAGTCAGCGTTTCCGTTCGCGGGCGCAAAAAATGTTCCACGCATGTGCGTGACACGTTCGCGTGACTTGTAGTAAACATAAAAATCAACAATGTCTTTTTACAAAGAGTTGAATAACTTGAGTACAGCTGATTTTTATGAATATTCAACGAGGACCAATATTAAAAGAAAGGCCGTAAAGTCATCGCGTGAGTTGTTCGAGGTCGAGCGGGTAATTTCGCGAAGAAATCGACGAGGAAAGGTAAATTTATACGTTTGTAAATTTATATGCTTCTGTTCACTAACTATACTCCCATATTTCGTCGGCAATCTCTGGTGACAAATGTGTTTTATCGAATATATTGATATTGTATTACAGGCAGATTATTATGTAAAATGGAAAAATTATTCTAGCCTGGAAAACACTTGGGAGCCAGAGGAGAACCTGAATGCTGCTGCAATAAGGTAACATTGATTTGTTTTAAAGTTTATTAACTTTAGCTGGTAGCACGACTATAAACATTGTAGGCAAATAAGAATTTGTTGTTTTTATATAGACTAGCTTTGTGCTAGTTAGACTGTTGGTTAAGCTCAACCTCATCCCCATGGTCTTTCTTCTTGAAAGGGATGCATGTATTCTTAAAATGTATTTAATATTTTGTCTTTCACTTCAGAGCTTTTGAAAACCCAGCACCGGCAGAGAATATGATTCAGGATGCAAGGGATTCTTTGGCATGCGGCATCCTGGAACAACTGAAATCAAAAAGTATGCTGCCAACAGTCATTCCTTTTCGGCATGATGTATTTCGCTACTTTTTTGGTGGAAAGGGGGAGATCAGCAATGAAAGAGGTGCAGTTCTCTTGGAGAAGTCTGATTTTCAGATTTGCGATTTCCGAGGGGATTGGGACAAGATAGCGCGGACTCTATAGGAAATGGCTTGAAGATAGACTTTCCAGTCAAACTTCGACCATTCCTCTCATGGAGCCCTAAAACCTACATCCTTAAGGATGGTCAAGTTGTTGTGCGCCCCAGGTATCGGCCTGAGAAACTGAGTATCTCAATTTGTAAAAATGCTTTTAGCTTATAATTACTGTATATATTATTAATTTAATTTTTTTTAGAGTAATACATAATATGCTTAATTAACCCATTTCTGCCAAAGACTCAGGCACAACTATTACCAAACCCCAATATAAGAGAGTGTCACTCTGGGAAACTTATTTAATTAAAGGCACACAATCACCGGTTGAGCGATTTTATTTAAATAGTGTGATATTGGCCAATTACAAATCAACAAACTTGAATTTTGTTCCAGAACTATTGATTCAAGTTTAAATTTTGAACATATTGTAACATATCGTACTAAATAGCATCGCTCAAACGGTGCCTGTGTGCGTTTAAAGTTTTACATATGTTAATTAATTCTGTTGCTTTTGGTAAGCTTGCCTCTACAGTATTAATATTTAATAAACATCAGCATTTGATTATATGACAAAACATGGCCTGTCTTGGCCAAAATGGGTTAATTTCAACTAACCAACTAGTTATATATTTTGTTGATTTTTAATTAATAATGGATTATATATAAATGTATGTACATAATTATGGTATTTTAACTGTCCCTTCTTCTTTTGTTTTTAATCTCAACTTCCCAGTAATTATTATCCTTTTTGTTGTATGACCTCTTTGTTCGCTCGCTTCCGCGCAATTCCCACTGCCTGAACTCTAATTGGAGGACATCAGATGCAGGATTTTTGTTATTTGATTTACGCAGAACGACACTCCTTGCCACATCATTGTTTTTCTCAACCCCCTGGCCAGTGAAAAATTTAACAGAATGATACTTTTTCATAAATACAGGTACATGATACACAAGTGCATGCACGTATGGAGTTACTGCTGCTCTTCTATATCCTCTGTGAATAGAAGAGTCCCTTAATGAGGTAAAAAGTTTGATCCATTCTTTTGATTTTTTAAAACAATCATTACAAATCTCATCTGTTGTATGTTTAACAGTTATCATTTTGTAGATATCATTAAAATCTTTCCATATTTTACTGACAACTTCACATGTACCCGGCATTAGACAATTGGCAAATTTGTCTGGAAGCGCAGCCAACAGCTTCTTCTTGTCCGCCCCAAGCAGGCTTGTAAAGTCATATTGCCCGGATCCCCTTCCATCTTCATTTTTCTTTTCCCAAATGTCAAAACTGACTCCGCATGACCTTATTGCTTCCTGAAGTGTTGTAAGATGAGTGTCACTTCTTTCACTCTTTTTTTTGTTAAAATTTTCTTTCTGATCCCAGGAAATTACTTCCTGATAATATTATTCAACAAAACATCCATTACTCTTAGTAACAAGTGTAACTCATCTAATACAACATGATCTAAATCAATATTAATAAGAGGCTTATGGTCACAAGAGAACTTGTCCTGTGTACCCTTTTTCTCTGCCATGTTTATGATTTCTTGCAGCGTGCGTTTGATTGGGATAGAGTTATAATGGGTTAAGTCCTTGTCCATTTTCCATCGGTTATCCTTGTGGATCTTGCACCAAACATATGCAAAATTGGATGTTGCTGCTTTCATGCCCATCATAATTAATAAAAATTTGTAGTCTCCCCCCAGGAAAAACTCAAGATTTAATCTTGAGTTATTGATAGTAATCTCACCCACCTGGATTAAATTGTTAATCTCCTGGAAAATCATTCCAAATGAGTCCTGTAGTGTTTCATAGCTTTCTGATCCCTTCACAATTGCAAATGTATGGTTTCCACTAGCAGACATTACGTCATCTTGATTTTGAAGTAGTGAGAACGACAGCAAAATGAAACTAGAATTTCTTGTCATTTGTGCCCCATCACCAGAGATTTTAATCTGGACATTCTCTTTACTCCAATCTACCTCGTCATGTAATTTGATGAATTCATCAACATGAGATTTCAGCATGTCAGTGAATGATATTTGGGCACCATCAGCTTTACCCGTAGCCTCCTGCGCAGACGTTGTTAGTGGCCGAGGCCTCACCTAACGTCTGCTCACATTCGCTATACATTTGACTTCCCGGCAATTAACCAATCACAATCATCTACACGATAATTGGAAGATCGGCCTTCAATGACCTTCACACGCATGGGCTATATCAACAAGTCTGTAGTATTTTTAAATTTGAAAGTTTTAACACTGCGCATTAGAAAAAGGCTTTTCAGTCTATTATAAACGAAAAGGATGTTGTCGTAAATCTTACAACTGACGCAGGAAATCCCTTATTTATCACGCCGTTACCGAAGCTATTCGATGTAATATTCGGATTTAAATATTTAAACAAATTGTAAACATTGTAAACATTTAGTAATCGTGGTTTCGGTTGATAAATTCAATACGAGATCAAGTCAAAAAACTACACGATCTAGGAGTCAGTGCTGTGTCATTATTAAGTTGAATCGAGAGCGATAAAGAAGCGAAGGCATTGGAAGAATGGAAATATTCTGACTGTATTATATGCAGAGTCATTGTTGAAGACCGAACGATGGAAACGAATGCTTCAACAAATTGTACGTATAGCAAAATGGTTTGTGCTTTGGCTGTTGATGCATGAAGCTCATGCGATTAAAGAATGGTATGTATTATAATAAATCCTAAAAATGTGTTCGCTTTTGTAATTCCCAAAGACACAGGAATCGATCGGGCTTGGCCATTTTAATAGTCATTATTCATTAATATTTTATATTGTTTATTTAAATTGAATTTGTCTTTTTATACATTGCCTCGTATTATCTATTTGCATGTAGTACTAGCATGCAAGTTTATATGAGGGCAATTATGAAGGGTTTACATCAGAGGGTTGGGGCATGTATATTAACTAGAATGGCTCATAAACTTGCTGGTGCTACGTACAATAGATAATACGAGGCAACGTATAAATCAAGACAATATAAAATAACGACTATTAAAATGGTCAAAGCCGATCGATTGCTGTGGCTTTGAGAATTGCAAATGCAAACACATGTTTAGGATTTATTATAATACATACTGAAATGAGCTTCATGCATCAATAGCCAAAGCACAAACCGTTCTGCCATACACTTTGTCTTTGTCTTCAGCAATGACTCTGCTGTGCCATATAATACAGTCAGAATATTTCCCATCTTCCAATGTCTTCGCTTCTTTATCGCTCTCGATTAAACTTAATATAATGACACAGCACCGACTCCTAGATCGTGTAATTTTTTTACTTGATCACGATCGTATTGAATTTATCAATGACGAAATCACGATTACTAAATGTTTACAATGTTTACAATTTGTTTAAATATTTAAATCCGAATATTACATCGAATAGCTTCGGTAACGGCGTGATAAATAAGTGATTTCCTGCGTCAGTTGTGAGATTTACGAAAACATCCTTCTTTTCGTTTATAATAGACTGAAAAGTCTTTTTCTGATGCGCAGTGTTAAAACTTCCAAATTTAAAAATACTACAGACTTGTTGATAATAGCACAGTGATAATAACCCATGCGTGTGAAGGTCATTGAAGGCCGATCTTCCAATTATCGTGTAGATGATTGTGATTGGTTAATTGTCGGGAAGTCAAATGTATAGCGAATGTGAGCAGACGTTAGGTGAGGCCTCGGCCACTAACAACGTCTGCGCAGGAGGCTAGGCCAAACCATAGATATCTCATATACACTAGATAGCGCATTCCACCCTGTAGGCAGGCGAAAATTGAAGCCTGATCGCAGTCGCAGTTTACGTGCGGCGGCCATATTGTTCGTTCCCACGGAGCGTGATAATTTGTATATTTTGTATTGTGGAAATGGACTAAGTTGACAATAAATCCTCTTTTATGCAGTAAATTTTGGTTTTTCAAGTGTACAACTTGTTGTAAATGATGCCAGATCGTTGGAGCTTCATATATCAATAACGGGTAGGCAGAATTTAATTAGTTTTTTCGAAAATATCAATATTTGTCGACCCGTATGAAGGGCGCCCATAGGACAAACCCTATGGACAAACCATCATTGTTAATGTATATATAAATATAGTTCCACTAATTCCAAATAAAACATTTTGAACTATCGCCATTGCTTCATGGCAAAATTGTGAATGTATTTGCATATTCTTTTGTAAAAGACAGCGACACTGAAAAACATTGCATTTTTTGTCTGCAACCCCCATTGAGGACATGTGGAATTTCCAACGGCCCCCTGCAAAAGTGAACAAAAAATGAAGGAATTTCCATGGGAGGGTCCAAATTTTAAAGCAAATCTGCGGAAATTCCAAAGGGTAGGTAAGAAAAATGAGTAAAACGTATGGAATTTCCATGGGAGGGTCAACAATGGAAAAGAAATTCCAAAGGATAGGATCAAAATCAGCAAGGAATTTTCCAAGGGATAGCTACTAATCAAAGAATCAATATGGAATTTCCACTGGCTAGATCAAAAACTGTCAAGGAATTTCCATGGGGTGGGTTAAAAGTTCATAAAAAATTTGCGGAAATTCCATGGGAATGGCTAAAATTCAATAAAAATCTGCGGAAATTCCACGGGGGAGGCAAAAAATTCGCTTAAAAAATGTGGAAATTCCAGGGGAGGGGGGACCAAAAAATGGATGTCCTCAATAGGGGGGGCTTGGTTTAAAAATGCAATGGCCCAATGGCAAAAATAGACTTAAAATTTTAAATAGTCAATATATAAAACATTGACACCAAAAATGGTTCTTACTCCTTACTATTTGTATATTTATTACATACATACAACATATCATATATTATTTTATAGTTCCATGGAATCACATCAATCACAAAATTTATAGTTCCATGGAATCACATCATTAAAATGTGTTAGAAGCTAGAGAAGAATAATTGCAACTTAATATATTCGCAGGCAATATAACATAATTGCTATTGCTTTATGTAAATGTAGTTGATAATCAAACTTTCTATACCTTCAATTGTATGAATGCTTCAAACTATCTTTAATATTTGATGTTAAGAAATATTTTCTTTCTGTTGAGTCCTAGACCTTTTGTTTTTAATTCAAGCAATCAAACTGCCAAATTACTGTAATTATTAACAGCATAGGTCATTGATAATCAGATGAATTTTAGAACTGCTTTGGGAAACCCTATTTTGTAATGAGACACATTACTTCTTGCATTATTGTAAATTGTAAGGTCAATGGGATAAACTGCTTGATGCACAGTAGATTTTATAATCTTAAATATAGTTGCACTCACTCACTATTGTATAAA